AAAAAAATAATTGAAGTCGGAGACTCCTATTATGTCTCGCACACATTTAGATCCACTGCGTGGAGACTCGCTGTTTACTTCGCGTCGTGTGTTTCTTATGCCCTTGTAAACGCGCGCATATTTAACGCAGATATGTCACATGTGCTCAAAAAATAATATTAAGAAACGAAACTACTTGGTAGTGTAAAAAAATATCTATTCCCCTCTACACAACTGTTAAGTGAAAAAAAATAGGTCTTTTTAGTGACATCGAATTTCATTTAATTCGTGTGTCAAAAGAAGTTAAACCGCTGATTATATTCTTTAGAAATTTTACATGTCCAAGCACTCAGAGATAAAAGAAACGTCTAATTCGGACGGTTTTTATTTTCGGATTCATTCGTTGCACGCGACATGTAGCTACCGAGACTGTGTACACGTCCCCACTGACGTGATTGCGAAAGGATGGTGGTTGTATTTTTCACGTTATGGCGACAGGTGGACGTGATCGATGGTCAGATGCGCCCTTTGTACAAATCGCGCTAGTGTAAACCAACTAGCGATAGGATCAAACGCTAGTCTCAAAGCACGAAGTTTGCTCATGCAAAAACTATCATCGCGAACCGGAATTTTTAATCGTCGATTATCGAAATTTTAACTAAACGATTGTGTTTACACAAGTTATTTATTTTATTGTAACAAAAAGAAACAACATTGAAAAGACAAATTTTCAATTGATTTGAAAAACAGCGATCTTTCCAATGCAATGCACACAAATAGAAGAAAAAAAAAACGTACTTGTTTTCTGCTTCGCTCGTGCCGTTTCCTCCCATCATTTTTCATTTGATTGAACATTCCGGTGCAGTTTAACTGCATTAGTTAAAGACAGACTGAGAAATTTCCCTACAACTTTCGTTAAAGAGCGAGAGACAGAGGGAGAGAGAGAGAGAGAGAGAGAGAGAGGAAAGTGAGAGAATAACGACCGAATAACCAGCGTAATATGCAGCGCATAACAGTCTCTCTCGAGGAGAATTTAATTACTCCCACTAGTTAAATCGTGGAAACGCAAACTGAAGTTTGCTCTAAACCCAAGAATATTTCCATTACATTAAAATTTCTCTTTTAATTATATTTTATTTCAAGACGTTTGCGCACAACTTAGGGAGACGAAAAAAAATGAAAGACGCGAGGAGTGTAATTTACACGCAACCATTTGTCACGCGTCTCGTAGAAAAGTTCGTCCCGAGAGAGCAAATGATAAATTCCTGCACGGAATGCGAGGGATCCGAGGGTTTGACTCTTGGCCAAAGTCTTTTCGCAATGGATTTTATAATTTCTATGAAGGGGTGAAGGTAAATTGAGTATTTCACATACACGAGATGCAGCAAATCAAACGTTCTATGTAAATTTTCGAACTAAATTTAATTCGAATTTCCACGTGAATTAATTTACACGTTTAACGGAAGTAAGTAAATAAATAAATACATACATATGTATATATGTGTAATTGCATGTACATCTCCGGCATATTGACTCGTATCGACCTTAACGTTTAGTTGTAAAACTGGTAAATATATATTTAATCTTTCAGGAACTCAAAAATGATCTACGAGTCGAACGGATTGGGGGTCTATGAGACCCACGCGACTTTAAAATTGCGAAAATCTTATCTCCGCGGAAAAACAATATTTTTTCAGTTTTGTTTTTTGAATCGAAAGTTTGAACGATTCTGCGTTGATCAAAAATCACAAATTAAAAAACTCTCTAGTAGGTTTGAAGATATAAGCATGTGAAAAAAAAAAACTAAATTTTATTAGAAACATGCGCAATCCTTGAATGGGTCTGGGAGACCCATGTCTGTCCGTGAAAAGTCAATGCAGTCGGTCATTCTATGAGAGACTAAATATACAGAAGCAGGTGTACTTGTGTAGGTAATCGTTACCATTTGCAAAGTGGGACGAACTTCAGATCGAAGAGAAGATCAAGAATAAACGAAAGAGAAAAACGGAAGAAAAAAAAAAAGAAACGAGAACGGGAATCGTCGCAGAAGGCAGATTTCAACGGTGATTCCTGTCACTTCCGGACGCGCGCAGACTACCAGAATCCGAGTTACCTCTTTAGGCATGGGGGTAGCAGATGTTCTCTACGACGTGCTCTCGCACCAGAGAGGAGAGAGAGCTCGCCCTCCTCCTTTGGGGAAAACGCGCTTAACTAGCCGTCACCGCCCGATGCTGCCCCGTCGTTTCGGCTTCCCCCGAGCAGCGACTTCTCGAAGCCAGCTCCGCCAGACCTAAACAAATCTTCCGCTACCGAGAGAACAATTTCTCCCAAGTGGGACTCGCAACACAAACCATTTCGAACAGACTGTGCGCCTTCCGCGCGCAATTATTTTCAACCGGTTTTCCGCCAAATCAAGTGCGAGATTAGGTGATTACGCAATTAATCTTTCAAGACGGTCGAATCTTGGATGTTAAATATTTTATACTCGATTTTTCCTCTTCGAGATTGTTAGCGCATGCCAATCGGAATAACGTCGAAGAATCTAAGCTGGATTTTTCCCGGCAAGGATTGCAGGGAAAAATTTGCGCGCGGCGGCGATTTCTCAGGCAATCACCCACGCGGACCACGCGCGCAAACAGAACAGAAGCTTTGCGAGAGAAGCGAGAAGCTCTCTCGCGCACGTGTTACATTTGTTAGATCCCGACTGCTGCAACCTGTCGACTGTCGCGTGACGGGAATTTCGAGACGGGAATAAGCTGGGAAACGCGCTTTTAACTAACTGTCACCGCCCGATGTTATGAGCCTCGCGAACCACGCTCGTTCTCGCAAACCGCGAACAAATGCTCGCGTCCTCTCCGCGAACTTACAATTAGTTGAGTCCTCGAGTAACTGGCGCGCGATACGCGCGCGCGCGACGATATTATTATCATATTTTTGTGTGTGTAATGTAGTTTTCCAAAAGCGTTTTACGCGGTTATTTAACTGCATGCGCCGCGCGCAAACGCCTCTCTCTGCGAGACCAACCGGCACAAATTAATTACTAATCTTTTCACGTAACACTCTCATAAAAATGTACATATACGTACTTGTGAGAACAACTCGACACAGCGAGTAACGTTGTTGAAATGTAACGACTCTCTCCCCAAGAAAGATTGATAAAAAGTTAATCGGTTCAAGTTCGTGGACTCAAAACTTATCAAGTACAAAAATAAAGGAAGAAAATATATTCTCTTAAATTTTTTTTTTTTTATTTCTTTTATCATTTCATTGCGCTGAAAATCAGTGGACAAGAAGATCTAACTTTAACCAGTAAAATTCTCAAGAACAAGTTGTCGCAAAATTATTATTACAACTAATGTTCTCAGTGAGACTATCTGTCATTGAATCATTCGGCGAAATTTTAACCGATTCCCAGTGAAACTAATCCGCCACTGAATCAGTCGGTAAAAAGTTTTACTGAAATTTCACTTCAAAAGAGAGACTGCGCGTTACAAGTATTTATTTGTCTAGTTTTCGCAGGCCTCGTGAGAATTTAAATTCACCGCGCGCGCGGAAGATTTACTCGTCAAATCGGAAGCGCGGAACGACTATTAATTCTCGGTAATCGCGCGAAAGAGACAAGTAACGCGCGCTCGCGCGCGCGTGCAAGTTTCCGGAGCAAAAATGATTTAGCGCTCGCGTCATTAGGCGCGTGAAACACTTTCCTAACTGCCAGTCGACCGCCTCTTTGTCCGCGCTCACCCAGTATTCATCTCTCAACGTTCTCTGACCCCACGAAACAAATGCGCTCCTTTCCTCCCTCCCTCTCTTTCTCACACTCTCTCTCTCCCTCTCTTGATGGGCAACCCTTCTCGGCAGCTTAATCAAGTTTGCTCGTAACTAAAGGTTACGAGTGCACACTTCGGAAACGTTCGAGATCGGAAACTGCTTTTCACGCGGATCCATTGTCGCTCTCTCCTTTCTCGAGAAAATGCTTTTCATACGTTTCACTTAGCTAAAAGGTACACGCCGCGAGAGGAAATATCAATCTAGAGGACATATTCTTCGCGAAGAGCGAATAAAACAATTTAGTTCTCGTAAAATTTTAATCTTCTCGATGGAATTCTTGCTACCTTTTATACGTCCCCTCGTTCGTAAATTAACGGAAACATTGTTTCACGCGAATGTTTGCTTTTCAGCGCGAGCTTCGTTCCCTATAATTTGTCGATATACGCGCGATAGATATTTAAATTAAGATAATTAAATTCCGAAGAATTTAATAAACATACACAAATACAAAATAGTTTCAAACCGCATCAGTTAGATAAGATTTTCAAAAAGTAATTACAAAGACATGTTCACGGTTACGCGGTAGCGAAAAGTAATTTAAATATTTCCACGAAAATTTGCTTGACAACGACAACAAAGTTTTTTCTTAACAAATTGGAGATGAACTTTCAAGTCGCGTCGGTCGGAGAATTTTAATCTACTTTGAGCGGCTGCTAGACGAGATCCTTCTAAATATTGCGCAGCCTTTAATCCGTAAATGTGTTGTAATTAAAGCGAAGCTAGGTTAAAATCCCGTGTAACGGGCGAGGCACGTGGAGACCACTCCAATTTCGGTTGCTAGGAAACTAATCTTGCGATCACTTCATAGATTCCCGCGCGTTTCGATTTGCCGAGAGTCGAAATTATTCCGCTCTTAATGAGTATCGATGAAACACGAAATTAAGCCGCGACAGAATGCCACTGTATTTACGCCGAATATGGAAATTATCCGCCAGAGAGAGAGAGAGAGAGAGAGAGAGAGAGAGAGAGAGAGAGAGAGAGACGCTATTGGCTAAATTTGTTTAAACCTTTATACAATTTATCTTCACTTGAAAATCGAAATTATTTTAGTAAAAACAAAAACAATGGAATTTCACAGACAAGGTAGATAAGAGCTTAATTCTTATCAGAAATAAAAAAATTGTCACCTTTGAACGCTTGACATTCCCACGACTAACTTGATAGTGTGTTTAGTTATTAGAATTTTCACTCACCCCATCGATTGTCGCAGGCATCCTCGACTTTCGCATTCCTCGCTGAAACAAAACAAGCACCAACGTTAATAATAAGTTCCATAACCCCCGCGTGCTTGCCTCTCTCTCTCTCTCTCTCTATAGAACGCGCACATTGATACACACGCATTTATATGCGAATTTACGAGATAAACCCTCACACGTATATCGATTTCGATCAATTTCTTACTCTGCGAATCTTGTCATCCTATTTCAGTGTTGGATCGGCGGTGGTATGCAACTCGAGAGGAATCATCGGGGAAAATAAACCGGAGAGATCGAAGGAAAACCACATCGCGCGCAGGTATAAAGCCTGTTTCCATCGCGGGATAAAAAAAGAGAGAGAGAGAGAGAGAGAAAGAGAAACAGCAACAAAACGGAAAACGCACTACACTCCGCGAATCGGAGTAGATATCCTCTCCTCCCCACGCTGAATTTCCCCCGAGAAAATCACCTTATCCCCCCGACTCCGATCTTTCCCGCAGACAGAAATGAAATATCTATTTGCATACGCGCGCTGGCCTCGGTCACGGAATTCTCTCGGCAAGGTAAATAACGATCTGAAATTCCACGCGGCGGGGCAACCGTCGATGAATCGATGGCTCGCGGCTTTTAGAATTGCGAAGAAAACGAAGGGTCGTCTCTCCGATAAGTGAGTTATTCGCCATTTAGTAGTCGAATCGGGACGGAAAAGGTGCCGCGCGAATTTGCTCCGTTCATTTCGCTATCTTGACGACAAAAACTATTTCGCGTCTTACGTGATGCGTCTTACGAGACGTTAAAGCTCCGCTCGCATAATCATTAAAAATACAACCGTTTCCGCGCTTTCTTGCGTATTTTTCTTAAACGGAATTTTGTCGCTGCGAATTTTCTTTTCGCAAGCTTAAAGAGATTCAAATTTCGATTATTCGCGGGAGCAATCCCGCGTCTCGTTACAGTTTTTCTTCTTCTACTTGACGTATAATCTGATAAATGTATAAATCTCGCAACGACGTTCTGTATGCATTACCGGGGGGGCTGCGCGCCGCTTAGAGAAGAAGATCAAAGCGCCGACGGATCCTTCAGGATGCTTTTATGTCGAAGTAAGAGCTCGAAGCTAAGGAAAGAGATTAAACGCAAACACGAATGATACAACGAATCGGCAAGGTAATGTCGAAACGTATTGACTTACGTCGTCTATGCGGAGTGCTGCAAAGAGACATATATCAGAAACTATGAGGCAATTTCGAATCGATCTTTCTTCCGCAAGATAGTCACATATGAGAACTTATCGTATCTCTTATATTTTGAACGCGCGCGAGTATTTTTGTTTTTAATTTCTTTCTGAAAATCGAGCGTCGAGTTTCCATGGGCTTCTAATAGTGATTTTAGTCGCGTGTTGTTTTTTTCCACTCGTCCCTTTCACTATTTTTCGAGTGTGATTTTCATGCGTTATTTCTGACATCTCTTATATGTACATTATGTGTGGTACATGATTTTTGTAAGATGTATATACTAGCTGTCACATTGCGGTGACGGGTTGTATTCAACATAATAATACAACACGTTAAAATAAAAATAATAATAGCGTGCGCGTTGTGCACGCGCTTGTGTTGTGCTAGTATTAGTAAAAAATGTAAAAACATTCGCGTATTGTAACAACGTTGTGTACAGCTTTCAATGCGAGATAAAAAAAAAAGTCACTATAGTGGCTATTCGCTTTAAAACGTCGCTTAGTGGAAAGCGTTATAGTAGGCAATTCGTTTAAAAGATCGCGGGAAGCCACTATAGTGGCGTAGCACTCAAATCTAATAATAATTGAATCTAATTATATCTAAGTAGTCTCTGTTAAAATTAATTCGCTCTCTGCTTCGAAACGCATTTTCTTTTCTCAAAAATGATTCAATTGTGCACACATTTCTGTCGATGTAACGCAACAATCGATCTTTTCCGAGACGTCAAAGAGCGGAAGGAGCAAAGAGTGTGTAGGGAGAGAGCATATATTCCGCCACGCGTAATACAATCGATACGATTTGCTTTGTGTTCGCGTAATATTAATACCAAGGTGCATTGTGCGCGGAGAATAGCATCAGACGATATAAAGTCCAGAGAATACAGATATTATAGAATATACCGTGGAGGTACGCGTCAATACGCCATAGAAATCCGGTCTAGTGCAATCCGCGATATCCGGCAAATCTATTGCGGCACGTTTCGCTCAGCGCGCGCGCAAATCGGTAACTTCATTAAATTGCGACAATTCGCGCGCTCAAACATAACGTCTTAACGAGAGAAACGGCGACAAATGTCAGAGTTCCTCCCCGAGCGACGAAATAGTTCTCTTTATCCCCGGGAATAGCAACGATCCGCAAGTTCTCTGTGAGTAATGCGATTAAAGAGAACCGACCTTCGCGCGAGAGTAAAAGCTATAAATCCGACGTGAGAATGAGTAGGCGATATTTCAGTCGAATCATCTAAATGGTTGTGATCGATTAGTAAAATATAGAAAAAAACATATATAGAAAAAAATTAAAATATTAGAATATTAGAAAAATATAAATATATTAAAATTGATAGAATATTAGAGAAACAGAAAGAAAATAAAACGCAAGTAACGTGAATTGTAATCTGGACATATTAAAGACGTCTCGGATACGTCATGTGTTTCTTATGCCATTGTAAACATTAACATCTCTGAGACGTCTCTGAGACATCTCTGAGACATGCAAAGATTAATTCTTTATTAATTTTGTTAGTATTATAATACTAGTATTGTTAGTTTGCCCCAGTGGTCTTGCGGTCTGAGTGAGAGAGAGAAGCTGCGAGCGGGAGGTTCCGAGTTCGGACCCACATCTTTGGATTTTTCCAGACCGGTCTCTTTCAATTGAATTTATCAATTGAGAGGCAAACTGAAAGGGCTTTCATTAAGCTCGAAGTGATTATAAGCACTTCCATTGGTTCAAAATCCACCCAAAATTTGTAGGTCTATCGTATTCTACAAGCTCTCCAGTTCGGAGATTAAGCGCTAGGCTAACAACCTGCCCCGTAAAACTTGGTTCTAATTTCAAAAGTAGTCACAAAATTTGTTAATACAAGAGTAGTCACGTAATTTTTTTTACGTAGTTACCTCGGGTTTTTTACACCTCAATTAAAAGTCATTGTTATTCACCACATATTGTAAATTAGTGATTGTTCTCTCTATAATTTATATATAATTTATTATATACACACACACATTAATAATTTATTATATATGTTAAACTAATTTCTACTAGAGACACAGGTTTGAAATTTTCGGATAGTTCTGAGAAACCTATATGTCAGTCCATGAAAGAATATTACGTTCTTTGTTAAGCTTACACAAATGTAATAAATAGTATTTCTTTTGGTCACATTGAATTTTATTTGATTTCTATGTCAAGAGGTTAAGAGGATACTGGATGTCTATATTGATCGAATGAGAGCAATTAGTTTAGATTTATTTTCCGCTGGGACAGATAAACGATTTTCCAGAATACAGAAAAATAAAGAAACTTCAACAGATCTCAATTTTCTAAAAATTGAGTAATTATTTTTGCAGTTACGTTTATCTCGAAACGTTGCGCTACTTATATTTTGCAGTTCAAAAGTTGATACACGAAAAAAAAACAACGAAGATAAAAATAACATTCAAGAATGTAACAAGATCATCAGACGATAATTTAAAAGTCTACAAAAAATCTAAACTACTTTAGATCTGACGTTAACCTTTTTTTACATATGTTTTTTTTCTCTAACGACGTTCCGTGGTTGATATCACTTGTATAACAGTCGCGATGTACAGACTATTCCAGTTCCTCAAAACGATTGTGCAAATTGCTCGCAAGACATTTTACGTAAACATATATTAAACGTATTACGTGCGCATATACTTTGCGCGTGTTTTTAGGCAATAAATCTGGAAAAAAAAAATACCAAAATAAACCATCACCTGTACACGCAACGTTAATCTTTGGGTAGTTTATCATGCTGTTCGTACTACGGGCGATAATATCAGCAAAACGAATACATCGCGGAAATGCAGTGAAGTGGAGCGCGTCGAGTGAAGAACTGTCGCGCGTGTGTCTATACGTGTGCGCGCTAGTTAAAGGGACGAGCAACGTGATCCGAGCGCGTTAGTTATGATAAATGACCGGACAGTCGAGGGGCGAAACTTCAGCTTATAAATCTATCTTACTGTCAACCTCGCACGGCCTACGACCGCCACTGACCGTTTTCCCCGAGGCAATGGATTGTACAACCCCCCATCGTGCAACCCATTTGCCAAAATTTCTCTCGCATTCAAAATAGTTGCGGGGAATATCGCTCGCCCCAAAGTAAGTCCAATCTCCAAACTTTTGCGAGCGAAAATTTATGTCTCGTTCGTCTCAATTGCTTGCCGATCCGATTACTTACTCCTCGATTTATACGAAGACCATTTGAGATTGTAAATAAAAAAACTTTTAATTCCAACAAATACCATGTTACTTAATAGTTTACAGTCTTTCGCCATTGTTTTATTGTGCTTTTTTTGGCACGCGATTCTCAATAAGTAAAGCGTAGAACGAACAGACATAAAAAAAAGACATCCCTTGTAAAGTCCCTTGTAAAGTCCCTTGTAAAATCCCTTCGAAAGAACTCAACCAGCGTATTACTTCCAATTGATTTTTCCCCGCGAGAAATTTTTCTTCGCAAATAGAGCTGTCAGTCAGAACGACGAGGAAACAACGAACAGTTTTATAGTGAAAGTTTCTCCCCTCTCGATATTCCATGGCGGTGGAGGAGCAGACCGCGCCGTAACCGCGACGCTTCGAGATCTCGAGTGGTGGTCTCGAGAGTTACGCGCGCACACTTGACGCAAACGCCCGTTTCCGGAGCCTCCGAAATGGCTCGCAAGCTCCTTATTGCGTCGCAAAACCGTCGACACATCTCTCCACATCCCTGAATATAGATCACAGAGAGAGTTCCGTACGAACAAGGCCGAGAGAAAGGAACAGTTTTGGCTTTCGTTTTTTAAGAGACGAGGA